GAAATAAAATTTGGGTTAATGCACATGCATCTTCAAAATCTTTACCCCCCCCCCCCCACGTCTAGCTATATTTATATATATAGAAAAATATATATATTTTAACAAATAGAAAGCTGGGCGCCAGCAAGCCAGAAATGGCAGACGAACATGGCTCCAGGGCGCCACTACCATAGTTGCACATGGGTGCCCTCAAAGTATGGTCCCTTAGGTGTTTTAGGCCCTAAATATAAAGAAATACCGGAAAGCTCCACATGAGTGACCATTTGTGAAACTTCTGAAACTTAAGTGACCATTAGTGTAACCGCATGTAAGTTCAATGACTGTTAGTGAAAATTTTAAACTTCAATGACCATTTTGTAATTTTCGGTAATTCAGTGACCATTTGTGAAATTAACCCAATTTTAAACATAAATAAATAATGGTAAAGTGGACACAAAATAATACTTTATAAAGCAAAAGAAATTACTATTTTAGAATGGATGTAAATTGATATCTTAGGAATTACTTCAACATCCTCCTTTATACCAAATAAATTTTGGTCCCGTTCGATTCCTACTTTTTTCAAAATGTGTTTTTCTTTCTCTTTTTTTCAACTACACATTTTTCATTAAAATAATATTACACTTAAATCAAAAACTTTTTATCCACACATCCTCCATCAATCTATTATTCTAAAATTCATTTTTCCTTAAAAATGAGTGTCAAATACCCTCTTAATTCAAATTCTACTCGAATAAAAATATATAAATTTCATTTTGCTATTTAAACATTGTTTTTGCATAATTTATTTTGCTTGTAAATTTTTTAAATATGATGAAAACTTAAAATTTTGCCACAATTTTACGAACCAATCAACTTAAAAATTTTGAAATTTGGTCAAGAAAATAAAAACCTAAAAACATGGGATTTTGGTCCCCTTTTTGATGACGAAATTGAACCCTCGATCTAATGTGGCCATCATATAAAAGAGTGAAAATTTCATATATATAAAAGATTAAGTATGATTCATTTCAAAAAACTTCAAAATTCAGATATTAATTAAATTTTATTTATAAAATATTAATTAAAAATATATTTTATTAATTAAATATATTAAAATCACAATTCTATATTATTTGATCACAAATTATTAAATTAGTTGATCACAACTTATTTTTTGATCATGAATAAAAAATTCATAGGTCACAAATTAACGATCACAAGTAAAAAAATTTATAGATCACAATATTTTCATTGATCATAAGTCAAAAAAAATTTATGATCTTGTTTGAGCCTCATTTTTTTCATCAAAATACATATTTCAATAGTGATTTGACACCATTTTCATTCACATTTTTCAATAAAAATAATATTACACGCAAATTCAAAATTTTTTCTTATTTTTTAACCACATATTATCTATCATATCACTATTTTAAAATACATTTTTTTCTAGAAAAATGGGGTTCAAACAACGCCTATATATCACAATTTATTTACCGATCACAAATTTTATAAGTTACGGTTCAAATTTTTATCACTTATTATTTATTGATCACAAGCTATCGATCACAAGGTCACAAATATAATCAATTTATTGATTACAATTTCATATAATTGATTACATATTATTTATTAGTCATAAATTAACTAATTTATTGTTCACGATCAACCATATAATTGATCACAAACATGGACACCTCCACCTCATTCCACCCTTGACATCACAACAACCAACATCACAACCACTATCTCACTACCACGGTCACCCTGCCAACACCAACTCACAATCTGAAACCCAAAAACAGAACCTAAAGAGTCGGCACTACCACCACCGCTTCACAGTCTAAAAACTCACAAACAAAAGCAGAAATCAAAAATCCTGCACCACCTTGTTGCCACACTGTCGCACCTCACAATCCAAAACTTTGAAACAAAAACCAAGAAGCAGGCGTATAAAGAATCATAATCACCATCTCCTCTATCACCACACCACAACACCATACCACACTATGTTACGAAAAAAAACCCCCAAACCCATCATTGTCAACACCGTCACCACCACCACGTCGTCATGGTGTATCCGATTCCGAGGAACAATCGTAAACAGACATCACAATGCTTCGAGCGTCACTAGAATCTGAGATTTCATACATGTCGGGTATGTAATTCTAAATTCTAATTCACATATGAAATCGATTTTCTACAAATTTGCAAACCCTTTCAAAGAGTGAATTGTCACCTATTATGAAATGTTTTCACAATTGTATCGCTATCTAGTTTCATTCCATAACTTTTCTGAATTGAATGTGAATAGAATGAAATGCATTTATATGTGACATTGACGGAATGAAATACGTGACTTGCACGTGGATATATTGGATGGGTATGAATGTGCATTGTACAGAGATTCACATTACTTTCGTACATCGTTGGAATTGTGATTGAACACAATGTTAATGTGACCTGTGTTGTGAGTTATGAAGAAAAATGTGACCATCAAATAAAACATAACACCATTGAGAAACCATTTGTGTCCTACGCCTAGCACATAATCAAAATGTATGTGACCTAAAATGTATGTGACGTATGAAATAGACACAATAAAATTTGTTGTGACCTGTGTTTAAGATATGTAGAAATATGTGGCCATCGAATAAATTGTTGTGACCAATGCGTTAACCCGTGGTTACGAGATAGAAACACGTGACCAGGCAGAATCCTGTCAAAAGTGTCCTGTTTAAAGTGTGGTATGATATGTGTTAACAAGACTATAATTAATTACTCGAACCAGGTGTCGTGATATTGAATATGTGACCAGGATTAATAGATCAAGACAAGTTTTTGGTGGAATCGGTGTAATTTGATACTCCTCTTGTAAACTGTAATTAGATGTGTGACTAACAATCTGTATTTTGACTATCCAGAAATGGGAAACTTACATGTTTTCTTCTTGAATGAGTCACAAATATCATTGGCGTTGATTGATCATAACAGCGAGTATAAAAAACTTGTGGATACTGTGATGATGGAGTTTGATTTGAATCCTGCTACAGTGGTAGTTACAATGAAGTATGTTTTGAGTAGTGATTTGCTTCCAATAACTATCAAGAATGATAGTCACGTGTTGTCCTATATGGCGTTAAAGGATATTGATCGTGACCCTGGCAAATATCCAATAAACATTGAGGTCATAGCTGTAGATAGCACACACCAATCGGTCACATCACCAATTGGTATACAAACAAATGTACCTGAATTTTCACTATTGGATATGTCGTCAGATATATGTGGATCAATAGTAAATCCATCGTGTGACAACTTCGAACATAAAGAGAGGAAGAGAAAGGCAACTAGTGATACATAGTTACCATAGTGCCATGAGCTGAATATTTTTTTCATTCATTATTTGATTTGGTGACAATTTAGTTTTTGAGTTACAATGTTCTTTCAACTAAAAAGCAGCCAGGATGTATGCAAAAGAAGACAAATATCAGGTTTCAATGAAATGCGATGGACATAAACAAAAATTTCATTCTCTGACTTGTTAAATACTAATCTGTCACTATTTTTTTTGTGGCCTTTATTTATGGAGATGTGACCTATGCCTTGCGACAAAGTAGAGTGTCACACGAGAAAGATCGAGTGCTAGTCTCCTATGACCACTGCATAACCACATATGACTAATCGTTTGCAACTTGTGCTGTGAACATTGTTGCAACATTATGTGCCCCAGTATTTAATCATATACACATGTTACCTATGTGACCCATGTAAAAAAAATTTTGTGACCTATGACCACTATATAAATCACAACCTATGATGATTGTGTATGGGAGCTGCCTCAAAAGTGTCAAATGTGACCACCACATGATTATATGGG